TGCGATTAAATTGATATTGATAAATAAATTTTGCCGATGACTCTGAAAATTGAAAATTCATAGAATCGACTCACTGAAAAACTTATCGCATTTTTCTTCATCTGATTCAACGTCAATTATGGCGTAATACATTTCTCCATCCGCAAATGGTTTCGATCCATTATGGAATAATTCGAAATTAACAGTGAAAAATGTGCACGCAAATTCGGTTTTGGATGCGTAAGCAAGTGCTGGTATAGGTTCGTCCAGTTCATACGTGCCCTGTGAATTTGTCATTCATTATCAATAGGTCGAATCAAAAGTTCAATTGAGATGTGATAATAGAGAATAAAATTGAGATTACAGCTGCTATCGGACAAGTGTCGGTGCCGCTGGCAACCATCGACGAAATACTTTTCCACATTGCGTGGTCGACGGAATTCCGTGGTTTTCTACTGGCATCGCAGAATCCGACAGGATTTTGCATTGTCGATTCCAGGATTTTCCCCATCATTCGCACTTCATATGTCATCTGATAAAGAATATTGAATAATTATTCATAGTTATTTTAATAATAATTATTTCAATCTAGTTACAGGCCAATGGCAGATAAAAATGGAGTTCAATCTCACCATAATATCGTCGTCAGCAGTGACATCGTGAACCCAGTTGAAATTACAAGGGAGCTCATCACAGTTTCGGTTGTCTACTGTCAAGTCATTGTCAGTTCTTGTTTGAATGCTGAACTGCGTTAACTCGCCGTCGTAATAATAGAAATTATCTTCTACTGGCTGTTCCTCAGGCGATTTATCTGGTTCTGGTGCTGTTTCCTCCTGTAGCGGTTCCGGTTCCGATGGCGGATTTTCTGGCGGTGGTTCGGGTTCTGATTCAGGTTCGGGTTCAGCTTCTGGTTCTGTCTCGGGCTCAGGTTTTGATTCTGATTCAGGTTCGGGTTCTGATTCTGCAGCGGGCTCAGGTTCTGGCTCTGATTCAGTTTCGGGTTCTGTTTCAACCTCGGACTCGGACTCGGGTTCTTGTTCTGTCTCGGCCTCGGGTTCTGGCTCTGTCTCGGCCTCGGGTTCCGGTTCTGGTTCCGTCTCGGCCTCAGGTTCGGGTTCTGGTTCTATCTCGGGCTCAGGTTTTGGTTCTGATTCTGTCTCGGGCTCAGGTTCTGGTTCTGATTCAGTTTTGGGTTCTGTTTCAACCTCGGACTCGGACTCGGGTTCTGGTTCTGCTGCGGTTTCGGGTTCTGCTTCTGATTCAGGTTCTGGTTCCGGTGGAGGCGCTTCCTCAGATGATCCTGCTGCTTCTGGAGACTGTTCCTCTGGTGATTGCTCTATTGTTTGTCATGAAATCGAATACAATAAAAAAAATAGAGCGGTTAAGAGTATTTTCACATGATTTTTTATTTGAAAAAGTTGAGTAATTTTTCCATGAATTTTTGTACCGGGCGATTCTACTTCAGGCTGCACTTCTTCCGAACTCGACGACGAACTCGAGGATGAGCTTGACGACGAAGATAAACTCGAGGAATCAGAGTCAGAGTTCCTCGATTGTGAATTCGGACATTTAGGAAACCATGGGATTATAAACTGAAGTGATAAATTAATAGATCTGTTTTATTTTCTCTGTATACAAATTTTATTATTATTTTACCTTCACCGGTTTCAGGAATGCGCACTCAAACCTCTTGATGGGCCCGAGCAAACCTCTGAACTCTCCATTGTTTCCTGGATCCTTTTGTCCATTGCATCCGGTTTGCACAGTTACGAAGAGTAACACAAGCCCCAGAGAAAAAATACTCAGGATATTTTTCATGCTTCAATTGTGTCTTTCTCTGGAATTGTACTGGCTTGTGTCTTATCACAAAGGCAAGTGCTTCGTCGAAGCTAAAATTATTAACATGCCAAGTCAACAATACAATTGGAAACATAATTGAACTGCAGTCCGACGTCGACGATAATGAACCGATAACTTGAAAACCGACAGTGAAAATAAACCGAAATTATTATTACCACTGAGCATTTAAAACAACTCAATATAATTAATGAAGTA